GATGAAGCCGCCACCGTGCCTGCGTTGTGGGTCAGAAGCATATTGGATGCTTGTTGGGGTCTCTTGCGAAGCTTCCCAAAAAACATTGTCGAGGCAATTATGATGCCTCGTGGGGCTCGTCCGTGGCTGCTTGCGGACTGTAGAAGCTTCTTTGGGGCCTTCAGTGGGCTTCGTGGGGCCTCTGGAGTGCTTCTTGGGGGGGAAGCAATTTTGAAATGTTTCGAAGCCTCCGGGGGGCCGTTTTGGGGCATGTTGGGGCCTCTTTGGGGTCTCTGATGGGCGCATTGTTAAGCCTCTTGGGGGCCTCTTGGGGCGGAAAATTCGGTTCGTGTTCCCCTCTTTGGCACCTCTTGGGGCCGTCTTGAAGCCATCTTGGGCCGTCTTGGGCGCCTCTTGGACCGTTTGGGCGCCCTCTTGAACTGTATTTGGGGCCTCTCGGAGGCCTATTGGGCCGTCTTGGGGCGATGTTCGAGGCTTCCTCGGCAATCTTGGAAAGTCAGAAGCCCGAAAACGCGGGCAAGCAAAAAACATTGAAAACACACAAAGAACATCTATGATTTTAACCTCTTGGGGCTCCCTTGGAAAGCCTCTCGGAGCGCCCCTGGGGCTTCTTGGGGGCCCCTTGGGCCTTGATGGGGCTATCTTGAAAATTTTGGAGCGCTCTTGGGCCATCATGGCGGCTTCTTGCCGTTCCCGGAAGCCGTGGTGGACGCGTCCGGGGGCGCAAAAGAGCCTCAGGACGCCCGGGGGCAAAGTGGGTTGCGGGGGGGGGAAAATTCGGGAGGGTGTCCCGGCCCGGGGCCATGGCCCCCGGTATCCCGGTATATGATATATGATATATGATATATATATACATATATATATATATATATATATATATAATATATATATATATATATATATATATATATATGATATATTGTGATGTATATATGTATATATGTATATATGATATATGTGCATGTATGGTCCAGGGCTTGGCCCCCCCCCCTCCCAATGCTGATGCCATTGGGCCCCCCCCCCCCCGCGCGATGGTCCCCCCCCGCGCCCCCCTGTGGGCGTGGCGTGGTGCTGCGCTGCGGTGCCCCCCCCCCCCCCCCGTGGATGTGGTGTGGTGCAGTGGTGGTTCAGAAGTGGGCGTGGCGTGGTGCTGCGCTGCGGTGCCCCCCTCCCCCCCCATGTGGATGTGGTGTGGTGCTGTGGTGGTTCAAAGGTCGTCCTCGTCGTCGTCGTCGTCGTCGTCGTCGTCGTCGTCCTCGTCGTCCTCGTCGTCGTCGTCGTCGTCGTCATCGTTGTCGTCGCCGTCATCGTCGTCGTCGCCGTCGTCATCGTCGTCATCGTCGTCGTCGCCGCCGCTGCCGGCGTCGTCGCCGCCGCAGCCGTCGTCGTCGTCGTCGTGGTCGTCGTCGTCGTCGTCGCCGTCGTCGTAGTCGTCGCGGTCGCCGTCGTCGTCGTCGTCGTCGTCGCCGTCGTCGTCGTCGTCGTCGTCGTCGTCGTCGTCGTCGTCGTCGTCGTCGTCGTCTCTGGGACCATACCATCTGGGGGGGGGGGCCGAGGAATCCTGGGACCATACCATCTGGGGGGGGGGCCCGTGAACCCTCGACCCTGGATCATATATAGACACACCCACCGAGCCTTTTGTTTCTGGCCCTGCACTGCCATCTGCCCAGGCAAACGGATCCAGGTGTATGCAAGATCCTGGTGTATACACTTCTCACTGGTTCCCGGGCAACGGAACACAAGAATACACCACAACTGCCCCGACGTCGACTCCGACCGTCAAGGAGTCCTGGGATTGGAAAACCGCCCGCCACTGGTAATGCATATGCATATGTCCCAGATTCCGAGCGGGGATAGCTTTCAATTGAGCAGGGACCGACCGTCCTGGAATTCCTATAGGCCTACCACAACACATGTTCTTAAACCCAACGGAATGCCAGAACTGTTCAAAGAACAATTCGTGCAGACCACACAAAGTCATTAGCACATTCTCTGGTGGGCCTATAAGCGAGCCGGGACGCTTCGCCACTGCTTGGTTTGCACTCCTGGGCGCGGCGACCACGCGCGCAGCCGCGCAGCGGAGCTGGGCGGAAACCGGTGTGTGGGAGCGCATGCCAAATCAGAAAGTGGCATGCCGAAGTAAAACAAGCACACACACACACACACGCACTTTTCTACGTCGGCAGCTAGGCGGAAGGACTGCTCTGGCGAGGTGGCATTCGTGGGGCGCACAAAATGCGGATAAGCCGCAACGCGCGGGAGGAAGAGAAAAAAAGCCTGGCGCGGGCGGGGGGAGAGGACGGCGGGCCCGCTCAGAACAGGGCCAGGCGGCGGCGGGGCGGGCGCCGGGGCAGGGGGCCAGGAAGGCAGCAGCTGGAGGTAAGCAGCCAGTACGCAATCGGGCACAGTAACACACACATACACAAACACGCACACGCACACGCACACGCACACGCACGCACGCACGCACGCACGCACGCACACATTCACATTCACATTCACATTCACATTCACATTCACATTCACACACACACAAACACATTCACACACACACACACGAACAAACATACATACAACCATATACACACACAAGCTTCTTGAGCGCATGCGGACTGGACGGGAGGCCTCACGGCCGTTCGGAAGCCGACGGCCCAGCCGAACGAGCCAAAGCCAGGCAGTTGCGGGCAAGCAAACGCAAGGCAGGCCGAACAACTGGCCCGCCAAACTAGGATGAAGGGGCCAGCGAAACAAGGGCAAGGAGGGCCAAGCAAAGCGAAACGATAAGCAAGGAACACACACACTTCCCCTACTTCCCCTGACATCCAGCATGTCCCTCCCTCCGAGACGCTGCCCCCGACCTCTCGACCACTTCTCAGGGACGCCAGGAGACCGACTTTCAATACCGAATCTATTTCTGACAAACCCGAGAAGCCTGGCCAGGGCCCCGAGAAGCCGGAAACGAGGAACATCTCTGGCTCTAATTTTCCGAGACGTCGGATGCCTGGGCACCCACACAATCCACCAACACCACCAGAACCACCAACAACAACACCACCACAAACAACAACAACGCAAACAACAACCACAACAACAACATTAACAACAACATCAACATCAACAACAACAGCAGCAATAACAACGACGACGACGACGACCACAACATCACCAACACCACCAACAATAACAACAATACCAGCAACAACAGCAGCAGCAACAACAGCACCAACGCCAACACAAACACCAACAACAATACCAACAACAATAACAACAATACCAGCAACAACAACAACAACAACAACAACAACAACAACAACAACAACAACACCAATACCAACAGCAACAACACCAACGACAACGACAACGACAACAATAACACCGACAACAACAACACCAACAACAATCATTTTAAGACTGTTCGCTCTTATCTGCTCGAGTGTCATCCAACGTGTATTTCCCAAACCCTCGATGCCCGCCCTCTTCGTCTTCGGGGGTGCAACTTTCTTCCCTCCAGGCCGGGCCCCTGCAAGCGGCGGGGCGGTCCCGGACCGTCGGCCTGGCCAGCGGCAGCGCTGATCGGCGGCAACCCGACCCCAAGAGGGCTGGACATGGGACCGACCACGACGAAAATGACGACGACGACGACTGCGAAGGCGACGACGAGCGAAAGGGAGAGCGAGAGCGTGGCCGAGAGCGAGAGCGGGGCCATGAAGGGCAGGAAGTGGCCACGAAGGGCGACAGCGGAGCCACGAAGGGCATGCGTATGGGGCCACGAAGGGCGCGAACGAGCGGGGACCACGAAGGGCATACGTATACTGGGCCGCAGAGGGTGAGGACGGGGCCACTGCGGGCAGCAACGGGGCCACGAAGGGCAGCGAGGAGGCCACGAAGGGCGACAGCGGGGCCACGAAGGGCATGCATATGGGGCCACGAAGGGCGCGAACGAGCGGGGACCACGAAGGACATACAGACATGGGACCACGAAAAGCAGCGAGGGGGCCACGAAGGGCAGCAACGGGGCCACGAAGGGCAGCGAGGGGGCCACGACGGGCTGCGAGGGGTGCAACGGGGCTACGAAGGGCTGCAACGGGACCACGAAAGGCTGCAACGGGGCCACGAAGGGCAGCGACGGGGCCACGAAGGGCAGCAAGGGGGCCATGAAGGGCTGCAACGGGTCCACGAAGGGCAGCGAGGGGGGCCACGAAGGGCAGCGAGATCCCGATTCCTAAGTCAGCTGCGAGGGAGTCCTCAGCGTGAGCGCGACTCCTGGGTGCCTGAGTGTCGGGAGAGCGGCGCTTGAGTAAATTGTAGGGAATGCCAACGCAAGAGCGCGATTCTTGAGTAAGTTGCAAGCAAGTCTCCAGCGAGAGCGCGACTCCAGAGCGCCGACAAAGCGATTCCTGAACCAATCGTGAAGAAGTCCCAAGCGCGAGCGCGACGGGTCCTAGCTAAATGGTGAGGAAATCTCAAGCAGGAACGGTTGTTGTTGTAACCCGGGGGCCAGGGGCACAGTTTGAGCCCAGTGACTTTCCCTGGTCAATAAACAGGGTGCGAGCCCAAGGGGGGAAGCACTTCACGTTATTAAATTAAAAAGCGCAATGGTCAGCAGAGGGGGGACCAACAATCATTTTCCTTGAATAGTGAGAGTTCAACAACACCAACAACAAAAGCGCCAACAACACCAACAACAACAACGCCGACAACACCAACAACATCAACACCAACAACAGCAGCATCAAGAACAGCACCACCAACATTACCACCAGCAGCAACAGCAACAACAGCAGCAGCATCACCAGCACCCGCAACAGCAACATCAACAGCAGCAACAACCACACACACACACACACACGCACGCACACGTTGGGCTTGGCGAGCACACGTCCTGAGCGCCACCGAGTAAAGGGAGCGACAGGTGTGGCGCGGGCGTGCCTCGCGGCGGGCATTCTCTCTCCTGGGGCTGCAGAGCCGCCAGGGGGGCGCCCGCCAGTCGCGGCCACCGGTCACTGCCTGTCGAAGCTCCCCTCCTGCAAAGGGGCCCAAGGTCACACAGAATTCCCCATATTTTCTGGGTGTTTCTGGGTTTTCGTCTTCCCCCCCCCACTCGACAATTTTTTCCATATTTTCCTGGGGATCGACGATTAATAATTCTGCCTGTGTGTGTTTTTCCCTCCTGATCCTGGTCGATCCGCTCGTTCAGCGCCTGGACGGCGCGCTCCACCCACACGCCGCGTGGGACCTGGCGGGGGCAGCAAGCGACCACGACCACATCGAGGACACACCCGTGGGCAATGTCTCGCGCATGCCAACAATCGCCAGCGCACCAAAACCAGCTCAGTGCTGGCTGTTGTCAGCGTGAAATCCCAAGACGGCCAAATTGACCACAGCCGCAAGCAGAGTGCTCATGTCGGACCCTCCAGAAATATCCACGGCCAGGGTGGGGGGGGGGAAAGGGGGGGGGCTTCTTAGAAGCGCGGGCCAGGGCGGCCGGGGGGGGAGGGGGAGGCTTCTTAGAAACATCCCTGCTGCTTCGAAGGTGCGGGCCTTGTCTGTAGATGTAGGACCCGCGCCTTCTGAGCCGCGGCCTCCTTCTGCGAAGGCTTTCCCCCTCCCCCTACCGGGATGGGCGCGGGGGTTGCTAATGGGATAGGGGGGCTACCAGTGGATGCTAAGGTGGATTATACCTGGCCTAACCTAGCTTATTAGTGGGTTCCACATGCCCGAAGTGGCTTGGGGGAATAGCGATCCAGGCTAAGTGGGCTCTGGCCACTTAGCGGAGTTGTTCAATCCCCCCTAAACCGCTTGGGGCACGTGTAACCCACTTATACGCTAGGTGAGGCCAGGTATAACCCCTTTGGCGTCCACTCATCACCCCCCTATCCCCACACCCGGACCCCCGACGTCGTGATTTCCCCTTGGCGTCCGAACCCGTTCCCTGGGACCGGTTTTCATCCTGAGTTTAGGTCGGGCATGTCCTCCTACAGGCGGACCTTGGACGAAACATGAAAAATGAAAATGGCCTGAAATAATAAAAACAAACAAACAAATTGTTGACTATAGAGGGACACGCCCGACTTCTTCCAGAGTCGCTTTTTGACAGTCCCGAGGGCCCCTGGAGGCCGACCAATTGCTGTGGCCCGCCAGGACACCTGCTGTTGCGCGGCACCGCCCGGCTCCCTCGCGTACGCCCCCCCGTCCCCAGAACTCCGACACCGCGAGCCTCGCCACGGCGCGGGCTCCTGGAGGAGCCCGGGCCTCTTCCCCAGGACCAGATTGCATCATCCCTCCTCGGCCTCCTCCTTCTCCTCAACCTCCTCCTCAGCATCATCAGCATCAGCATCAGCATCAGCATCATTATCATCATCCTCACCACCACCATCAGCATCATCATTGTCATCATCACCACCATAGTTTCTGGACGGCACTGCAGGGGCCCCATGAAGGCCCCCACCGGATGTTCATCCCGAATAGTTTCATGCAACGGCCCTGCCTGCCCAGAACCTCCCAGGGCAGATTCCGCAGGGGCCCAGGAGGGTGTTGTTTGTGGCCTCGCGCCGGGTGGCACGACCACATCGCGACGCTTGGCAAGCTGGACACCCCACGCAAGCCGACCTGCAGCAGGCACGATCTCTGAATCGTGGCCTGCAAAACATACCGGCAGTGCAGCTGCGACGCAGTGCTTCGGAGTGTGTGTGTGTGTGTGTACGTCGGCCTGCCTGGGCCGCTCCGCTCTCCTCCTCGGAGCCGGCTCCTGGCGTCACCGCGTGGTGGCCTCGCCCTACTGGTGCGCCGTCCTCTGTGCTCCCCTCGCGCGGGTGGTGAAGGAGAGGGCACTGCGCGATGAGGATGCAGGGGCCTTGGAGGGCCACTTCGAAGCTTCTCGAGCGGGGCACGGTCAGCGAAGGTGGCCAAGCCTTTCGTGTTACCTTTCAACCCCAGGGGGTCCTGGGACCAACCAGGGCCTGACCGAGGCGCCTCTGCGGGAGCGAGGTGGGCACCCACACAGGTCGAAAGAAACACAGCACACCCAGCAAGGACGCAGGGGTACCCCAGGGACTGTGGCGGGGCCCTTTGAGGCCCCTGCTGGCTCCCAGGGGGACCCCAGAGGGTCCACCTAGGGCTCTTTCCTTCATTCCCCCCGTGTCCCCATGCCTGACCACCAGGATGGGCGCGGAGGTTACTAAGGGGTTCGGGGGGTTCTCAGTGGATGACAACGTGGCTTATGGCTGGCTCGATCTAGCTCATAAGTGGGCTTCATGTGCCCCGAGCGGCTGGGGTGGGTAATTCGCCATCCGGGGTAAGCGGGCTTCTCTCGCTTAGCGGAGTTGTCTAAACTCCCTACACCACTTGGGGCATGTGTATCCCACTTCTATCGGGGAGACATTAGACTCGGATTCGGGGGGCTCGGGTTGGCCTGACGGGGCCATCATGTCTTTTCCCCCCCGCACAGGCGACGATAACACCTCGGTATGTGAGCACTGCAGATCACCACAGCAAGACTGTGCCTCCACGTGCCATTGGCAAGCGAGGAAAACAACACTCAGGCCTGACGGGGCCATCATGAACATGATGCGATCCAGTCTGAAATTTGAATCGAGCTCCCGCCGCAAACATCCCACGAAAGCTGGATCGTCAAAACCCAGGACGGGCTCGTCCGAAAACGTCGGCAAACCAGTGTTCTGGCGCACTCGAGTCCTAGGTTTCGCGGGTCCAAGCTGTGGCAGTCCAGATTCAATGTCTCTCGCATCCACTGGTCGCACCCCTACAGCCGGACCTAGGCCAGAATAATATCCCTCAAGAACACGAGACACTCCGCCGGCCAATACACACAGAACAACCGAGGGTACCCTCCCCAGGACCTACGAGGACGTCCAACAGACACGAAGAACACTGGGGGACGCTCTCCGAACCGACCTCGATCTTAGGGCTCGGCCCGACTGTATCTAGAGGGACAACAAAATGTATGTGAGTGCCATTTTTGTTTCTCGAACATCCCCTTCCCCAGACCCCAGACGTTGTGATTTGTTTGCCACGTCGACCCCCAGAGGTCTGGACCCCTTCCCGGCGACCGGTTGTCCATCCTGAATCGTTCTGTTGACGGTCCCGAACCCTGGGAAGGGCCCACAGAAGCCGAAAACAACGAAAAATCTCTGGTCGTGTTTTTTCTTCATAACGCGAGGAGGCCTTGGAGTATCCCCTCCGCAACTTCCTTGCCCATCGGAGCACCCACCTGGGTTCCCCGGCTCCTTTCCCACAGGCCCCCCCCTGCCCTCGCCCCGCCTCGCCCCGCCCCCCTTATGGGCGAATGGTAGTGGGGGGTGACCTACACTGGGGGTGAAGAGAGGCCTCACAGGATGGGGTCCGAGTGTATTGGGTCGGAAGGTCACGCCGCATCGTCGGCGCGCGATCCTCCGACCCCACCTACTCTGACCCGGACCCCATCCGGGAGGCCTAGACTCAAGGGAGGGGTGAAAAAAGGGCGGGGCCCAAGAGGGGCCCCAACGGCGCCCATTACGGCCCTCCTCTTCACCACCCATGACGGCCACCCTGGACGGTTCCCCCGGGGGCCGTAAGCCATCCGAGGGGGGGAGGGCGAGGGGGGGAGGAGGAGGAGGAGGAGGAGGAGGAGGAGGAGGAGGAGGAGGAGGAGGAGGAGGAGGAGGAGGAGGAGGAGGAAGGAGGAGGAGGAGGAGGAGGAGGACATCCTCCTCCACCTCCTCCTCCTCCTCCTCCTCCTCCTCCATCTCTGGAGGCCCTCAGCGGCCCTCGGGACGGTCTGAAAACGACCCAGGACTGCAAAGCTGGTTCAGGGAAATTGGCCGAGACCCCTGAAGATCGACGCCCTGAAAAATATGACGTTGGGTGCCTGATCAGGCTGGGCATGTCCTCCTGCAGGCGGAGCTTGGAAGAAAAAGGAGACAGAGAGTCACACCATATGTTTAGATGGTTCTGCGCGGCACCCCCCGCGGAGCCGAGTTCTTTTTCAAGCCGAGAGGGCTGCGGCCCAACACATCCCAAAACTATCCTCGCAGCTCCGGCACGCCTCCTCGACTCGACCAGCTCGTCGATCGTCGGTCTCGGGCCTCTTTGTGCCCTGGATGGCCGCGCCGCCATCCCCGCCAGCCTGTTGGCCGGGTTAGCCTTCAGGCCTGTCGCGCTGAGGCCGCGCGCCCTCAGCGCTGCCCTCAGCTCGTCCACCTTGTAGCGCATCAGCTCGTCCCTGACGGCCATCTGCTCGCCGCTGAGTGGAACGCCGTGGAGCTCCTTCCGCTGACACTCCACGATCCTCGATGCGACTTGTCGCCGCTGCCGAGGTCCTTCCTTGGTCGGCGCGGTGCCTCCCGCTGCCGATCCCTTGTCCGCGCTGGCCGAAGCTGGGGGCGGTGCTTCCCATTCTCGTCCGCCCTGAGCGTCCGCGCCCGCTCTGGCTGGAGGCGGTGCTTCCCCGCTCTCGTCCGCCCTGAGCGTCGTCGTCCAGCCCCTCGTCGGTGCCCTCCGTCACCTCGCCGCCCGCAGTGTCGGGCCGGCGCTCCCTCGAGCGCCTCTTGGCAAGGTAGCGCACCGTTGCCGTGGCTGCGATCATGTATACCAGCATGAGCAGGAACAGCGGCCTGACGATGCCTATCGTGCTGCCGTCGTGCTGGTCGTCTCCCGTGGCTGCGGCAGCCCCCGCCGCGCCACGCACGCACCCTGTCGCCGACGCCACATTCAGCATAGCAGCCGTGGAGTCGCTCACATGGCCAGCCGTGCGCCCTCTCGTCGCTTGCACCATGAACTTCAGCAAGACTTCGATCCTCGAGCCGCCAAGGTACTTCGCCCCTTCGCCGCCGAGCTGTCCGCACCAGCAACTCCCTGTGCGTGGATGCCGGGCAGCGCGAGGCTCTGCTGCAACAGGATAGCGGAGGCACCCGCCCTGTTGAAAGCGAGGAGCTCTGCCACCCCGCTTGATGTCGCTACGTAGCCCTGCGTCGACGTAGTCACCTCCAAGCAGTGGTTTCCGAAAATCATCACCGTGCACTGCGTGGACTTCGCGTCGTCCGCTCATGCCCAGTCGCTGTCGCCCTCGACGTCCGCCGCGACAGGAAGGGCCTGCAACGGATAGTGCCACTCCGTCACTGGGCACCCCGCCAGGTACCGTGCAGCGCGCTTGCGCCTGACCTCGGCCAGTGGCGTAGGCCTCGACGCTTCCGCCATGACCATCTTCGCTGCGCACTGCACCTGCGGCGCGTCCTGCGACAG